TATTGGATGGTTCCAATATAATCTTTCTCCTCCGCAGGACGTTATTCTGAGTCGTGTTGGGAGGAGCCGAGAGGAAGCCAATGAAACTGAAGAATGGATGGCGAGAATTGTATAGCTCCGCCCACTCCACCAACAAATATCACCATGGATACGGCGTGAAATAAAACTTTCCTGCAAATTGAATTGTGTTGTCATCAATATGGGATCAGTGGGTGGGTAGGGTTGGGGTGCTCGGGGGGCGGAGCTTGGAGCGGTGACTACAACACACACAGGGACCATGGGGAACAGACGTAGCCCCGCCTCCAGAAGGAAGGACAGTCAGAGATGATTGGAGGATCTCCAGCCGAGTGATACAAATAAGATACATTGTTGTTCGGGGACTCGGAGGGATTTTTAGGAGTGTACTGTCACTTTAAGACGTTCTTTTGGCCCCGTGGACTGTCATGGCGGCTCTCGCGGGATTGAAGCTGAGAAGATCCCTCGGAATTCCAATAATTTACTGAAATAATCAATGAACCTCAAAAAAAAGAATAATAGGGGGAGGTGATCGGAGATCTCAGGTGGGGACACCAGGGTTAGATTGTCTTCCTGCCTTGGTGTCACAGGAAGTGAAATCGCTGGGGCCACAGACACAAGTCATTAGAGGACAAGAGAACGTTCCACCATCTCTGGTCAGGAGTATGTAACACACAACACAGCATACAGAGTGCAGGGGTCAGGAGTATGTAACACAGCACAGCATGTAGAGTGCAGGGGTCAGAGTATGTAACTCAGCATGTAGAGTGCAGGGGTCAGAAGTATGTAACACAACTCAGCATGTAGAGTGCAGGGGTCAGGAGTATGTAACACACAACACAGCATGTAGAGTGCAGGGGTCAGAGTATGTAACACAGCATGTAGAGTGCAGGGGTCAGGTGTATGCAACACACAACATATAGAGTGCAGGGGTCAGGAGTATGTAACACACAGCGTATAGAGTGCAGGGGTCAGGAGTATGTAACACACAGCATCTAGAGTGCAGGAGTATGTAACACGCAACACAGCATCTAGAGTGCAGGGGTCAGGAGTATGTAACACACAAAACAGCATAAAGAGTGCAGGGGTCAGGTGTATGCAACACACAACATGTAGAGTGCAGGGGTCAGGTGTATGCAACACACAACATATAGAGTGCAGGGGTCAGGAGTATGTAACACACAGCGTATAGAGTGCAGGGGTCAGGAGTATGTAACACACAGCATCTAGAGTGCAGGAGTATGTAACACGCAACACAGCATCTAGAGTGCAGGGGTCAGGAGTATGTAACACACAAAACAGCATACAGAGTGCAGGGGTCAGGTGTATGCAACACACAACATGTAGAGTGCAGGGGTCAGGTGTATGCAACACACAACATATAGAGTGCAGGGGTCAGGAGTATGTAACACACAGCATCTAG